AGTGGAAATTAATTTTTAAGAAATATTTAATAGTGATTTCACTCGAAAAAGAAAATTTCTAGTTGAATACTTATGATAAAACTAAGTACACACCTACTGTTCAAAATATTTTTTTCAAAGAAATTAATACTTTTATTCAGCAAGGATGCATTAAATGGATTAAAAGTGACAGTAAAGACATTTATAATGTTACAGAATATTTCTATTTGAAATAAAGGCTGTTCTTCCTATTAATCAAAGAATCCTGGAAAAAATGTATCATAGTTTCCACAAAAATATTAAACTGTTTTCAACAATGATAACAATAAGAAATGTTTCTTGAGCACCAAATCAGCATATTTGTGACAATGAAGACTGCAGTAATGATGCTGAAAATTCAGTTTTGTCATCACAGGAGTAAATTACATTTTAAAATATATTCAAATAGAAAAGGGTTATTTTAAATTGTAATACTATTTCATATTACTGTCTTCCTGATCAAATAAATAAAAAGACTTCTTTCAAAAACATTTAAAAATATTTCCAACTGCAAACTTTTGAACGGTAGTGTAATTAAAAAATATATGTAGAAATTTGAATTTTCCAAAAGACATGAACATTTATTTTGTTCATATATACAGTGGGTACGGAAAGTATTCAGACCCCCTTAAATTTTTCACTCTTTGTTATATTGCAGCCATTTGCTAAAATCATTTAAGTTCATTTTTTTCCTCATTAATGTACACACAGCACCCCATATTGACAGAAAAACACAGAATTGTTGACATTTTTGCAGATTTATTAAAAAAGAAAAACTGAAATATCACATGGTCCTAAGTATTCAGACCCTTTGCTCAGTATTTAGTAGAAGCACCCTTTTGATCTAATACAGCCATGAGTCTTTTTGGGAAAGATGCAACAAGTTTTTCACACCTGGATTTGGGGATCCTCTGCCATTCCTCCTTGCAGATCCTCTCCAGTTCTGTCAGGTTGGATGGTAAACGTTGGTGGACAGCCATTTTTAGGTCTCTCCAGAGATGCTCAATTGGGTTTAAGTCAGGGCTCTGGCTGGGCCATTCAAGAACAGTCACAGAGTTGTTGTGAAGCCACTCCTTCATTAGTTTAGCTGTGTGCTTAGGGTCATTGTCTTGTTGGAAGGTAAACCTTCGGCCCAGTCTGAGGTCCTGAGCACTCTGGAGAAGGTTTTCGTCCAGGATATCCCTGTACTTGGCCGCATTCATCTTTCCTTCGATTGCAACCAGTCGTCCTGTCCCTGCAGCTGAAAAACACCCCCACAGCATGATGCTGCCACCACCATGCTTCACTGTTGGGACTGTATTGGACAGGTGATGAGCAGTGCCTGGTTTTCTCCACACGTACGCTTAGAATTAAGGCCAAAAAGTTCTATCTTGGTCTCATCAGACCAGAGAATCTTATTCAGGTGTTTTTTAGCAAACTCCATGCAGGCTTTCATGTGTCTTGCACTGAGGAGAGACTTCCGCCGGGCCACTCTGCCATAAAGCCCCGACTGGTGGAGGGCTACAGTGATGGTTGACTTTCTACAACTCTCTCCCATCTCCCGACTGCATCTCTAGAGCTCAGCCACAGTGATCTTTGGGTTCTTCTTTACCTCTCTCACCAAGGCTCTTCTCCCCCGATAGCTCAGTTTGGCCGGACGGCCAGCTCTAGGAAGGGTTCTGGTCGTCCCAAACGTTTTGTACGAAATTTTTTTGTAACCTTGGCCAGATCTGTGCCTTGCCACAATTCTGTCTCTGAGCTCTTCAGGCAGTTCCTTTGACCTCATGATTCTCATTTGCTCTGACATGCACTGTGAGCTGTAAGGTCTTATATAGACAGGTGTGTGGCTTTCCTAATCAAGTCCAATCAGTATAATCAAACACAGCTGGACTCAAATGAAGGTGTAGAACCATCTCAAGGATGATCAGAAGAAATGGACAGCACCTGAGTTAAATATATGAGTGTCACAGCAAAGGGTCTGAATACTTAGGACCATGTGATATTTCAGTTTTTCTTTTTTAATAAATCTGCAAAAATGTCAACAATTCTGTGTTTTCCTGTCAATATGGGGTGCTGTGTGTACATTAATGAGGAAAAAAAATAACTTAAATGATTTTAGCAAATGGCTGCAATATAACAAAGAGTGAAAAATGTAAGGGGGTCTGAATACTTTCCGTACCCACTGTATGTGTATTTCAGTGAGAAATGTATTTCCATGCGCATGGGAGTAATCACTGCCTCAAACATTAGCTGCGTCCCAAATGACGCACTATACACTATGCACTTATACACTATGTACTTATGCACTATGTACTCAATCATGTAGTGTATTAATTATATATGGTTATTTTGTCATTCATAATCTGAGTCTGGTAGCCCCTCCCCCTTCGCTACGTAATTAAAGGGTTAGTTCACCCCAAAATGAAAATTCTGTTATTAATTACTCGCCCTCATGTAGTTCCACACCCCTAAGACCTTCGTTCATTTTCAGAACACAAATTAAGATATTTTTGATCAAATCCGATGGCTCAGAGAGGCCTCCATTGACAGCAACGCCACCCAAACTCTCAAGAGTTCCATAAAGGTACTAAAGACGTCGTTAAAACAGTCGACGTGACTACAGTGGTTCTACAATAATTTTATGAAGCGATGAGAATACTTTTTGTGCGCAAAAACAAAACAAAAATAACGACTTTATTCAACAACCTCTTCTCTTCTGTGTCATTCTCATACGTTGTTTACGTCCAGCGCTTCCAGGTTCTACGTCAGAAAGCAGGCTCATTATTGGACGGCTCCTGCATCAGCATCACACGCATGCGTCGCGCTGCTCACATGTGCAGCTTTGGCCAATAATGAGCCGGCGTTCAAACGTAGAACACGTAGAACATTTTTCGGGTATTTAAAATGCACTTTTTCTTTTTGGAATTTTCAGTGTGAACACATTACTTGCACTATTTATACTACAAAACGTCATAGAATAGTGCATAAGTAGACGATTTGCGACGCACCTATTGTCTTTTTAATTTTAATGTCATGTGTTCATTGTATTGATTTAAAATTTTGTTTCTCAGCTAACTGATAAAAACCTGTGCACCCTCACAGAAGTTACATAGCAGCCAGCCAATCAGAACTTGCAGTTTCTCTAGCTGTTGCTAGTTTTGTCTGCAGTATACTTCAGACAGTCTGTGAACGGTATGTGGGTTGTCTGTGGGGGTGTTTGAGACTGAGATTAACTGGAATCCAAATGTCTTGCATGCAAAAGAAAGATCTGACTCAAGTTTCATAATCTGACAAGTTTCATAATCTGACTACTCAGATTTCAGCAATGTCCTGAAAGAGTCCTTAGTGAGTGTCACATCATTAAGCATACATAAAACATTACTTTTTGTGGACAAATGTTGACAGACCTTCAAAATCTGCATTGCATACTGTGGAAGATTATGTTTCCCATTCCAAACAATCCCAGTTCTTTCCAGTGAGGGTTATTAAATATTTCCAGCTTGGCAATGATTGAAAAAAATGACATCACAAACTCCAAAATCAGGCCGTTCTGACAGGCCCTAATAATGTTGAATTATGGAGATATTTCAACATATTACTTTGAGTGAAATAATGTATTAATGTGTCTTCTGCATGTGTGTTTGATGGCAGGCAGCGGGACCCTGAGGGAGTGTGAGAGTCCATGGCCCGACACACACCGTGATAAATTGCTCTCACTCCAGTGAGTGTTACTCATTGGTCAGAGGTTGGGAAGAAAAGCTTCTCAGGACCCAAAAGCACTGTGATGGTACCATAGTACAGTTATGGTTTCAAATGGTAGTAATACCACATACCAGTACTTGTGGTACATGGGCAGTTGACATGACTTGTAATTTCTCTTAAGGCCATTTTCTCTTATATTGTCATCAACTTGTTGGACAGGAAACCATAAAAATAAAGCTATTTTAGCCATTTCAATAACATGGTTGTTGTTTTGCAGTATGCCATCAATATTGTCAAATGTCAATATATACAGTATAAAATATTGTTGAAATATATTGGACTTATCTAATTGGGTGTGTTTCCAAAAAGAGCTGGTCATGAATTTACATATTACATATCTTAAAAAATAAATAAATAAAAACTTAGCTGAAGTATATAAAACAGTATAAGTAGAAACAAAATCCAGTCTCCTATACAAATATATCCACTACCGTTCAAAAGTTTGGGGTCAGAAAGGTTTTTTTTAAAGGTTGCATTTAATCAATTAAAAATACAGTAAAAAACAGCAATACTGTAAGATATTATTACAATTCAAAATAACTTTTCTGTTTTATTATATTTTAAAATGCAATTTATTCCTGTGATGGTAAGACTGAATTTTCAGCATCGTCTTCAGTGTCACATGATCCTTCAGAAATCATTCTAATGTGCTTATTTGCTGCTCAAGAAACATTTCTTATTATTACCAGCGAAAACAGATGTGCTGCTTAATATTTCTTGGAAGAGTGGAAAATTTTTTCAGGATTCTTTGATAAATAGAAAGTTCAAAGGAACATCATTTATTTTAAATAGAAATCATTTGTGACATTATAGATTTCTTTACTGTCACCTTTGGTCAATTTAATGCATCCCTGCCAAATAATGACAACTAACTTTTCCCCCTAATGACCTCAAACTTTGTGAAGAGTAGTGTAAAGCTTTATGTTCATTTTCATGTCCATTTGTCAACTGCCCATATACATGTACCATGATACTGAGTGATTACCATATCCATGTACTATGTAATTTACATGGTACTCTATGGTATTTCCTCAGAATACCATAGTATTAACATGATCAAAAATGCACTGTAATACTAAATACTTTTTGATACTTTTATGCATTTCTGTTATGTTCTTCTAGTTTATCTAAAGAGCTCTTCTACTGAACACTGCTCACCTACTACAAGACTAACCTATTTTAACCTACAGACCATCACACGACAAACTGCACTACTCTATGAACTTTAAACCAGTTCTGACCTGTCAACGTGCTTACAGACGCTGATGTACCCGGAGTCTGGGATACTGTGACAGGTTGGACTGATCCTGTGGTGGCTGGTGTTGAGGTCAGTTGGATTGTGGGTGGTGTTATGGATGTAGTTATAGACATTGGTGCAGTGGCAGGGTCAAGCGTAACAGCTAGTGTTGGCACTGAAAGTGAAGAACAACATTATAACCTGTTTTTTTTCTTCTGGCAAATGACTGGAGGCGCACTAAGTAATTTTTCTGGTCTTTGAATTGATACTGACACCTACACTGTACTGATGTCATTGCAGTATCATGCAGAAGCACATTTATCACCCGTTATTAATTAATTCGACAACAGAACATCGGAAAAATGTTGGTAGGATTCAGCTGGTCATGTGATCTCAATATGGCCACCACCAAGAGAAGAGAACTTTCTTATCTAACTAAACAGCTTTTATGCAGCTGATATGACTAGATCGCTAATCTCATGCGAGTCTAAACCATTTGAAACTTTTTCAAAAGTGCCACTGATTTCTTCCGATGCAAAACTTAGTAATGCCACTAGCATCACTAAAAATGCAAAAGTTTCACCTTTAAGCTGGAAAAAAATACCAAGTGCACCTTTAAGAATAATCTTGAGGGAAAAGATTCTTCTATATTCCTCATGAGATCAGTCATCACCTCAGATTTCCAACAAAACAGCATTAGACCCCCACAAATGGGCAGAACTGCACTGAAATTTCCTATAACCTTGAGCGCACCCTCATACATCACTAGCCAGCATTACAATGCTTTGCGTCTTACATCACATGAAACATTTATGAAGTAGAAAACTGTGGAAAAATGCATCACACCATCAGAGTTCACAGTGACAGTTAAGGGACGGATCAGAACCGACGTCTTGTTAACGTCATGAAATAAAGAGGCCAAAAAGAGCAACAACAAAAAAAACAGTCAGCGTATTCCATTAGCATGCCACTTACTGTCAGACGTTCCCGATGCCTCACCTGCAAACAGAAAGAGAAGAAGATAAAACAAATGAGAGAGTTTATTTCTTGTGGATTTATTTTATTTATTCCTCTACCTCTCTGGAGCACATCTAAGAGTTAAAAAATGCAGAAACCTGCCTCGCTTTTGCATGCAGTGAACGTACAGTAGCGATGAACTGTACATTTTTCCAATTCAATATGCCTGTTTTTGTTTTATTGCTAAGTTTACTTGACAGCTTTGTGCTATTCTACTTTCCTTAGCGAGTGAAGATGCCCCAGTTTTCTACACAGTACGTAAATCATTGCTTCCTCTCAGGTGTTGTGCGCGTTACTGAATACAGCAGGTGTATAATTCGTACAAATGTTCGGGGAGCCGTTCGGGGTGGGCAGGTATGAGCCGGGCTTCCAGGACTTGGCTTTGAATCCTCTCTCGCAGGCCGAGCAGTCTTGTCCAGTGGTGTTGTGCTCGCAGTCGCACTGAAGGCTCCTGTCACGGAGGGAGCACTGACTGGCGTGGAGGTTACACTTACACCTGTGAAAACAGGGAACACCAATTAGCACACTTGTTACATCGCAGCCACAGGCAAGGGCGAAAGCTGCAGCACTGAGGACGATTCCCACCTTTTATTTGTTAGTGTCACTCGAGGTAGCTCATTAGCTCACCTACTCGGCTCAAGAAATCAGCAAGGCTAATTAGTGGAGCCAGACACTGTAGTGTATGGCTGAAACAGTACCTGTAGGGAATATTGTGGATTCTACAGATCTTTACGTTGTGGTTGAAGTGTATAGAGTTATAAAAATGTGGCTTTTGGACCAGTTTCGGGACAGACAAGGAACAAAACTCGAGACTTGATTTTTGAAGTGTTTTTATTTTTTGCTTAATTACAGTGCGTCTGGTTAGGAGCATGTGCACCGCAATAAGTCCTATTATTAATGAGTCTTTTGTCTTAGTTTCCAGTTAATTTATAAAAAAATTCAAACAAGAAAAATGTACTTGAATATCAACTCTATATTAGATATAGAACTAAGAGGACAGATGTATATCAATATATGAGTGTATATTGTCTTCATGCACTGGCATTGTTTTTAAATTAGTTTTAAGTCTAAACATGATATTCTGTATTCATGTGGAAAAAAAAATCTGTCAGTACAGTGCAGTGTTATTGTAAAATAAAACTATTAAAAATCAAAAATAAATGTTTTTGTTAATTCAAATAAAGCTGAAATAAAATAAAACAAGGTAACACTTTACAATAAGGTGTCATTTGGTAACATTGGTTAATGGATGAACAAACATGAACAAACAATGAACAATATATTTGTTACAGTACTTATTCATCTTTGCTAATGTTAGTTAATGAAAATACAGTTATTCATTCTTTATTCATAGTTCACAGTGCATTAACTAATATTAACAAATACAACTTTTGATTTTAATAATGTGTCAGTAAATGTTGAAATTAACATGAACTAAGATCAATAAATGCTGTAGAAGTATCGGTCATGCTTAGTTCATGTGAACTAATACAGTTAACTAATGAACCTTATTTTAAAGTTTTAGCAAATATAAATGGTGAAAAAAATCGATGAAAAATTTTAGAATTCAGGATTTGGGATTTGAAGTTGATGTACTAAAATTATTAAAAATTAAATAAAAATAAATTAGTTAAAAATATTTTTTTAAATATACATGACAAAAGCACATAACAAAAACGTAAACTTAAAACTTAAATTAACATTTATTTTGAAAATATAAAAATAAATTCTCATTCAAATATTAATGAATATTTTCATAGTACACACATTATACTAAAAAACACTGGTGTAGAGGAGATATCTTTAATATGAGTGTATTCTGTCTTAATGCACTGGCATATCTTTTTTTTCAATTTGTTTTAATTATAAATAAGTTCAAATCAAGTGAAAAATCTGCCAGTCTGCCACTAAAAAAACTATTAAAATCATTTTTATTAATTTAAATAAAATATAATTTTTAGATGAAAAAAATTTAACAAAAAAAGTAAACCTTTTTTTTAATTATTTCAGTTAGTTGTCAAGGAAACATTTTTAATTTGTGTTTAAATTGAAGTATTAAATTACTAAAACGGCAATAAAAATAAAATTAAAGCCAAGTATAAATATTTAAAAATTAATAGAAAAGACAAAAGCATAACAAAACATTCTCAGATAATTTTACTGGAAAACAAGTGGGAAAAAAGACAGATTCTCATAAAGAAGGCTTTTTGTTTCAGCGTGTGGTCCTGATCACTTCTGTCTGCACTTTTCTAGAGACTAGTGTGATAATTTTTACTTTCCTAGATGTTTCTTATCTTTCATCATTGTCAAGAATCTTCCCAAGACCCATGTTTGTAAGCACTATAGAGTCTGTGTTTGTGTATGTTGTAGATGCAGGTGAGTTTGCTTCTTTTTGTCCCTGATGTTGGAGATCTTTGGGGACAGTAAACAGCATCTGTCTGCTCTACTCCAAATATAGCCACCGTCTACTGGGGGGAAGGGAATACCTCAAGAAAGATGGAACGAACAAATGAGAGAGAGAGAGAGAGAGTGAGTAATGATTATCGCTAGTGAAGACAATAAATGGGGGCTATTGAGATGGCCTTGCCTTGTCTCTCCTTATCATTGGCTCTATAAGAAAAATCTGCAGTGCTCCACAAAATGTCGCTTCCCTCCTTTGAGTTTATGAGGAATGCTCCGGCTATCTGACAGCCAACTTTAAGGATAGTTGAGATTAAAGGTCTGGGGAGGAAAGCAGGTTAGTATGGAAATGACGACTTTTGCAATTACAATCTCTCTAATCAAATGAGTGTGTAAATCCCAATGCATCAGAATTTTTTCATCCTCACTAAAGCGAACAGCTATCCATTTGCATGAAATATTTATGATATTTCCATGCGGACACCCCATAACCAAACCTTGTTTTGCCGTATAATGAGGTCATACCTCGCCCTCTGAAGATTCCCTTGAAGAAAGTGATGCCAGCACTTACATCATTTATTTATATAATTTTTTTTTTTTTATTGTATGTATGTCTGCATTTACATATATATGTATGTATGTATAAGACAAGAAAGTGACACTGGCCAGACTCAGACCCTAATTTCCATGTGCAAAACAGGTACTTTTTAAAATCTGTTTCCACCTTGTTTTTTTTACTATATCTTAAACATGAATGATACATTAGACAAGATGGTTTACATACTCAATTTCATTTAATTAATTAGGTCTTTTTTTTGAAAGCCTGAGGAAACAGACTCCAAGCCACCCTCTGGAGGCCTTTAATTCGTAATTAAAACCCAATGTCAATCACACACTCTTTCATTCGGCTGTTTCTCCAAGACCAAGTGCACATCAAGCTCCTATCATGACAAATTAATCAGCGGCGGACCACTTCATTGCAGAGATTCTCGCCTTAAGGAAGACCTCTCTACTTTTGAGAGGCAGCGCAGGATCTAAAGCGAGTGTTAATCAATTAAAGCACGGCAAGGTCTCGTATCAATTTCTGACCAAATCCAGGGTGTGTGCTTTACAATCCTCTTAGGTACAGATTGGAATTAGAACCCGCCCTGTGAGGAGCGATGAGAAATGGATGAGAATGAATGTAATGTAGTGCACCGTGAACAGATACTGTATAGAGGTGTATGAAGAGTGTCTTGCTCCATGTGTTTGTTTTGCTTGAGTTGCATATCTGGGTGCTTTATATCTATAGACACTTTTATGTCCAGTTCTTTTTTTTTTAAAACTAACTAAAACTTTTGAACTAAAAGTAAAAAAAATAAAATAATAAAATAAGCAGCACAACCATTTTTAGTAATAATAATAAGAAATGTTTGTTGAGTAGCAAATCAGTATATTAAAATGATTTCTGAAGGATCATGTGACACTGAAGACTGGAGTAATGATGCTGAAAATTCAGCTTTGCATCTCAAGAATAATTTCTTAAAATGTCATTAAAACAGAAAACCGCTTTTTTAAATTTTCAATATTACTCTTTATTTTTACTGTATTTTTGATTTTTTTTTTTTTATGTAGCGTTAGTTAAAATAAGACACTTATTTCAAAAGCATTAAAGAATCTTACTGACACCAAACTTTGCATGGTAATATATTTATTCTACTTTTCAATTTCCTTTCATGTATACATTTTGTTTTACTCTAAAAAAAATTATTTAAATCAAATGTTTTACAATAATTACGACCCTTAGCAGTTACTTCAGTCCACTACAACCACCAGATTTGCAAAGTTTTTTAATTTTTTTATTTGTGTGCTTGGTTACTAAGGAGAAAACCGCTTCAGAGAAGAGCATCCTTTAGATGAAACAGGAGAAATGTGATGTATAAAGAAAAAGCAAGGTAAATATCACTAATTATTATTGTAACCTTATATTTCGTCATTTCCAGGCAAGCTTTAATTTTGTCAAATTATGCAAAAAGTATGAAAATTATTATATAATAATTGTATTTGTGTTTTTTTTCTTCATGTGTATATATTCATGTGTAAATATAATTCTATAAATTCAGCACTAGCAAATCCAAATTGTAATTTCCACCACAGAATGCTGTTAAATGCAATAAATCATTAAATATGATGGAAAAGACATTGTAGTGAAACTATTCACAATGTTTTAGAAAAAAAATACAAAAATGACAGAAGTGAGCAATATACATACACACTGTCATACAATAGTAAGGTAATTAAGCTGGTGAGAGTATGAAAAGTGTTTTGAGAAAGTTAACACAGGAATGAAAGTGTTCCTAGTCAAAGCAAGACCTAATGAAGGTGCATTCAGCACATTTAAACAAGTAGTGTTAAATCAGGAATTGCATCTTAAACAAAAGTTGCCAGATAAAAGCGGCACAGTCGCATCTGCGACTAATGCAGGGCAGCTGTGGGAATCTAACGTCCCGTGAAAAAAACAGCACTCGAAGTGATGCAAGCCCTTGGCAAAAACAACGCTAAAAAGAAATCGGTCTGGTTTGACAGCTGAATAAATGCCTACTGGCATTTTGTAAATGTGCATGGAAAGTGAGTGTGAAAACTGCAAACGATACAGGCGCTAGCTTGCAGATTGGTATGCATTCCTCATCATCATGAATATTCTAAATTATTGACACCTCACCAAAAAAAGTGCTAAGTAGGCAGTAAAGTCTTGTGATTAAAAACCAAGGACAAAAGGAATCATTTGCGCCACTGTTCAGGACAGAGAGGGCAAGGCTGTTTTGCTCTTATTAAAACGCTGGCATCATGGGGTTAGATGGGCTGATGAACCAGCGCGGAACGCTGAGAATCAGGCAGTCTCACTGCAGGTTGCAGGGGAACAGCGGGAGGCATCCTGGACCTCAGTAGGGGGTGAAGAAGCAGCATCTTTTTCTGGGGTGTGAGGTGAGGTTTCTCTGCCCTGCACTCACTGAATCTGTGTGGATCCAGGGCAGCTATATCCAGACACCGCAGGGCTGGGACCCCACTGCTTGGGACAGGAACAGATCTCATGGGCATGCTTGCTGCCAGGCTCTG